ATTTCTCAGAGGTTTCTAGAAGATTCTTGAGTAACCTTATAAACATGGTTTTGAACTCTATATCCACTAGTTTGCTTTCCTCCATTTCTTTTGCTTGTGACCTGTTTCTTTGTCTCCGCATTTTGGCTGCTTCTCTGTGTTGATAGAGAGGCTTTGTATGCTAGGTGTCCTATATGGCCCAGTGGCTCAATCTCCCCTGTCACCTGAGGTGGACGCTCTTGATGAACCTCTTTGTGAACTGTGTGCACAGTCTTGTTGTAGTTAAGCCTTGATTGCTGTTGGTATCCCTGGGAGGAATTGACCTCCAGGTCAATTGGCTGTGAGAACCAGTTGTGTCTACAATGGGAGGACTTCTGTGCTGGAGACACCCTTATGGGGTAGGACTTACTTCAGTGGGGCTTTGGTGCTCACTGAGTCTGCCCCCTGAGTGTGTCTCTTATGGATAAAATTATGAACAACAAAGTGACAACAAATACACATCTATCAACAAGTGAATCTAAATATCAAGTGAATAAAAAATCTGACTAACAGAATAAACTGGTGAATAGAATAGAATCAGGGGCATAGAAAGGGAATGGACTGACAATTCTTGGGGGGAAGGGAGTGTGTGGGGTACGGGAAGAGATTGGACAGAAATCTTACACCTATGGATGAGGACAGTGGCAGGGGGTAAGGGCATGGGGTGGCGTGGGAACCAGGTGGAGGGGAGCTATGGGGGGGAAAAAAAGGAACATCTGTAATAATCTGAACAATAAAGATTTATTAATTAAAAAAAAAAACACAGATTTATTATCTTATGATTCTGGAGATCGAAGTGTTGGCAGAATGTTTTGTAATGGAAGTTCTAGAGGAGAATCTGTTTCCTCGCTTTTCTAGCTTCTAGAGGCTGTTTATAATATTCAGTTCATGGTCCCTTCCTCCACCTTCCAAACCAGCATCTCCAAATCTGTCTCTCTGATCTCTGCTTCTGTCATCACACCATCACATTTTCTTCTCTGACTTTAACCTCCCTGCCTCCCTTTGCATTACTTTATAAGCATATTTTTTATTATTATATGGGGTCTACACAGATAATATAGCACATGAGATGAAGACATCCTATAATATAATTAAACATTAAAATGTACCTTTTATACTCTCTATCTCAAGATCCTTACCATAATCACATCTGCAAAGTCCCTTTGCCACATAAGGTAACATATTCACAGGTCTGGGGATTAGGACATGGACATCTTCATAGGGAGATGATTCTGCCTTCCACAGGTTCCATTCTGGTGGAAAACCAGATGAGCAAGTGTGCATCTTTTGAATACAAAGGGTTTACTAAAGAAAAGGGAACCCAAAATGATTCACCAAGCATCACTCCTACCCTTCACAATTTCCTGAATGGCTATAATGAAGAGTCCCAAACAGTCCCAAGACCCTTCAATAATTACACACACATACACTAGAAGTTTGTACAGCCATTTATCAGGTGGCTGGAGATCTTGATCTACTGCCTTGCAAACAGTAAAGCTTGTAGATTACCAGTTATCCTGTCCTGCCTGCTCTATCCAGTGAAATTGTTATTATAAATCATGTGAGCATTTATACAGGGAGAGAGAGAGAGAGGAGATGTCTGAAGAATATGCTAAACCGTGCTTTATCCTGAATGGTAGAATTTTGGGTTATTTTTACTTTGATGTTTCTCTTGAAATTATCGTGTTTCCTTTGATTACAAAATCCACATTATTAACCATTACACCTAGTAAAAACTATTACATTGATCTAATATTATCTAATATCTAGTCTATACTTAAATGTTGCAGTTGCTCCCATAATGTCTTTTATAGCTGTTTTATGTTCTATTCAGAATCCAATCAATGATCACACTGTATATTTGGTATCATATCTCTTCTTTGTCATATCTTTTTAATTTTCTTTAACCTAGAACAGTTTCCCTGCCCTTGATTTTTGAAATATGGCAATTCTATACAAATATACAAATGAACATATGTTTATATATTAAAATTTAATATGTAATTCTTTACTTCATCCACCCACTGGAAGTCCAATAATTTAGGCAGACAATTTAACAACCCTAATTATAAATGTTACCCAAGACTGGTGAAATAAAATAAAAAGTATGTCTAAATGCAGCAGTTCTGTATATCAGGTATCAGAAAATTCCATATTGAAATTTTTGGGTTAGTTGTTAGATTATGAACTTTTAGAAAGGGGACAAATTGTGTTTTGTTCATTTTTATAATTCCTGCCCCAGTACAGTATTTTGAATGTGGTGAGACTCAACACATGTTTGGGAACCGAATGAATGGTTCTCTCTCTCTTTTTTATTATAGTGAAATACACATAACATAAGATTTGTAATTTTAACTATTTTAGGTGTACAGTTTAGTGCCATTAAGTACATTTATATTTTCATGTCCTGTCCTTTTATAATAATTTAAGAGATATAGTAATTGCAGAAAAGTTATTAAATAGATAACCAAAAAGAAAAATGATTTAAACTCCCCTCAAATTCTACCATCCACAGAAAACTGAGATATAACCACTCTTAACACACCCTTCCAGATTTTTTTATGTACATTTATTCCTATCCAAATAAAATATACAAGTGATCATATTATATTTACTGTATAGTAATCTACTCTTGTTTCCTTAACGTATAGTCAGTATTTTCCATGTTTTTATAGATAAATGGGTTGTTTTTTATCTGGTTATATTTCATCCACTGTTTTTCATGTCATATACCTCTAGTAGACATACTGATGGTTAGGGGTCTTGGTAACAGGACTAAGAATACAGATGAATCCCATGAATTCTTTTTTTATCTCTGAGCACAGTGGAAAACAACACTAAGGCCTGGATTTCTAGTTGTGGGCCTATGTGTAATTTGGGGTTTGCAGAAGAGGCTGGGCATATTTTTCTAAGTCTTATATTTAGGTCAGGGATCTAATTACAACATTGCACTGAGGGAAGGAACAAGAACAATGTATGTCATTTGAATGGAATGTCATTTGAAACCAACATCTTCTGGAGAAATGTTATTGAATGCCTGACTCTCTGTATTACTTACTTAGAGAAAAAACACATACTGAACAACAAAATGGCAATGCTCACTACCAGAGAGAGACTAGAACTTGTCTGATGGGTAGTAGGACCACTGCAGAAAAAACACCATTAATGAGACTGTTGCTAGGAGACGGGAGAGCCAAAAGCCCATGGCATTGTAGGGGTTCCACTGGAAATCAAGGCAATTTAAGTGTGATTTGGATCAGAGGTTTAGCTATTAAAATCTGTCCTTTGATGAGCATGTACTTTTTAGTGTGTAATGCTTAATATGATTTTATGTTTTTGGAGGAATTTTGAGGCGAATCCCAAGGCATTTCATTTCTTTCCATAGAGATTATCCCTTCTTCAAAGCACAACCCATTTTCAAGTGACTGGCTGCCCCTCCCCCACACACTTTTTCAGTGCTATAACCCGGGAGCTGGTGCAGAGGCAAAGCGCATGCTGCTGGTAAGTAGCTGAGCAATCTTCTGTAAAATAGATACCCAAAATATGTTTTCTAAAGCAAGTGACATGTTTTAATGGAATAGAATAATACTAAACTGTGTAGGAATTTCGAATTCTAATCAGTAGCACTTGGAAAATGGCTTAATTATAGTCTAAATATTTCACCGTCACTTTTCTAGTTTAAAGCTTGTGTCCTAAATGGTGAGTTGTTGGAAGAAAATATAGAAACTTCCTCCTTGTGATTCTGATAAGATATTTCCCAAAATAAGACTTGACGAAGATGTCACTAAAATGAGAAATTGAATTCGGAACAGTATTTCTGCTTTACTATGTTTGGATTAGACTTGACAAAAATGGGTTGTGATTCTAGATATTCTCAGATCTGATTTCCTTTCACAGTGTGGAGAAAGCAGGAGAAACAATGTTATTTTGCAATGAGGAAAAGGATATTCTTTCTTTCTTTTTTTAATTAAGAAAATGATGTGACTGGATATCTGTACAAGAGAGAAAATAAGAAGGAGGGCAGCCTGTAATGTTCAGATTAATTACTTCATGTGCGCGATGAATGTGTGTTGAATGGGGAAGATCAAAATTTGGTTTTGGGATGAAAAATCATGAAAAATAAATAATGAACCTTGCAACTGTAACTATATTTTGAGAATGATTCATTTGTATTTATGGGGGTCAATTTGTACAGTAAAGATAGAATCTTCTCAGTATTCCTTTCTTTGAAAAGGGATGTAAGAAGGATAGCAGAGATTCCTATCAACAAAGCTGTTTTGTATGTTTTTGAAAATGTGTATTATGTTTCCTGTTCCATGAAATTTGCTTTCATAGATCTATTTCTGCAAAAAAAAAGAAAAAATAGTTAAAGTGGTGGTTTTTCATTCCTTTGAAATTCAGATTGTTTTGACACTTCAACAGGAAGAAAGGAGAAAAAAGATATATAAATTTTCAAGCTAGATGACAAAGCATCAATCCAGTAAGAAAAATAAGAATGAAAAAGCTTCAAAGAAAGTCCACAAGATGGACCATTTTTTCAGTCTGAAAATGTCTGCTGGTAGCATATTTTGCAGGGGTAAGGGGGAGAGTGTGTTGAAGGCAAAGGGAGGCAGTGTTGAACAGAGCACTGCGGCAAAGAGAATGACTGACGCATCCAGGGACATGTGACCATTCTCTGGTGTAGTGAAGAAAATTTTCCAGGAGTCCATCTTGTATAAGAAATTCCGTACCAACTAACATGCAAATAATACCATAATTTGTATGTAGTACATAGTAAGTTTGTTTTGCTTGATGCTCTGTCAGTGTACATTAGTACATTTAGTCTTTGCTTTTTATTGTCTTCATTCTAAGACTTTCTTTCTGTGCTTCCACCACTTTTATAACACTTATTAAAGTATCTTGTTAAAAATGCTATCTTTCACCTTTAGTCATAAAAATCTCGTATAGTCATTGCAGAAAATTTGGAAAAAATCAAAAATGACTATAAAAATTACCCATAATTCTATAATGTAGAGGTAATTACTATTAACATATTTACTGTCAGTCTCTCTTCAGTGAATGCATGCAAATAAATGCATAGTAAATATGTTTATATATAAAATGAAAATCATAGGTACATATAGTTTTCGACCTGTTTTAATCATAAAATAACATATTGAAAGAAATTCCCCATATTTTTAAACATTCCATAAGAATGTGATATTTTGTGGAGGCATAATTTTCAATCATATAGGTGTCCCACTAATTGTCCAATTATTGAGTGTTTATGTATATGTACAATTTTTGCTATTATAACTTAAGGAATATCTTTCCCTATAAATATATTTGTGCTTTTCTGTTTTTCCCTTAGGATAAATTTTTAGATGTGGAATTTCTGGATCTAATGGTATGAACCAATTTGTATCTTCCCCTGTCCCCAACCGCATACATATTGCCTAATTTATTTATCATATGTGATACAAACATTATTTTCCAGTTGTTTTTTTGCCTGTTGACTTTTTTTATCATTTATGGTGGGTTTATTTTTACGTGTCATTGGTGTACATTTTTAAATATTCACAACTAGTAAATGTTGGTTTTTGTGATTTATTCTTTCATTTGATGAGTATATTCACCTGTATTTTACCCTAGTCATTTAATTGTTTCATTTTCTACAATTAACTTTAATTATCTGAATTTATTTTGGTATATGTTTGGAAGTAGGGTCTAATTTTGTGTTATTTTTTTTTCAAATAGGTCACCAATTGTTTCTGCATCATTTATTGAATAATCCAGCCTTCTTCCACTGATTTGAAATGGCAACAACTGTTCTCTTGTTAGGTAGGGTGTAACTTTCCACAGGTCAGCCATTTTCTTTCTACCTAAGATGGTTACATTCCACAATAGCACTCCTACCTTCTTAGCAGCTTCTGAAAGCATTTCAAAGTGTCATGGTCATGTTTATGCTCTTCAAGAATTCTAGGCACATTCCGTTTCAGGCAGATGTTTTCAAACAGGATTTTAAAATTAATTATTTAAATTTTTTATTTTTATCAGATTTTTTTTACAAATTAAAATTGAGAAATCTGAATATATAAAACCACTGATCCAGACGTGCTATTCCTTAGACACACCTGAATTCTAATTTTGTGTTCAAAAAAATACCCCTTGGGTTAGTGTTACTCCTAAGGTTCTTCCTTCAACCTCTTTTTCTTTTTCTTTTTTTTTAAATTTTTCCCTTTATTAATTAAGATATTACAAATGTGTCCTTATCGCCCCAATGTCCCCTCATCCCCCCAATCCTGCCCTCACCCTCACCCCCTGTTGTCCACATCCATCGCTTATGCTTATATGTATGCATACAAGTCCTTTGGTTAATTTCTCCCCCTTAGCCCCACCCTCCCCTGCCTTCCCTCTGAGTTTTTAGCATCTGATCGATGCTTCTCTGATGTAGAATCAACCTCTTTTTCTACTCCTCAGATGCTTGGAGAATTAAAGCTGTCTGGACTCAGTTTCTGGAATTTTCTAAAATGCTATAAGAGGGAAATGTAAGAAGTGTATGAGAAGCAGAAATAATGTTTGCCAGCCTGTTGTTGGCGGTATTCTGATCTAGGGGTTTAAAGAGGTTAGGGTGAGTCCCAATCCATGCCACCATTGTCACCATGTGTTGTAGATAAGGACACACTCCAATGATTCATCTGTTCACTGCAGGTGGAAGGCTCAAGCATAAAACATTGAGTTTTTTAGTGGAAAATGGGTTAAGTGTGCTCACAAAAATATTTGACTATTAAAATCATCTGCCACTCACTGTTGACCCTCCACCCCCATCTCCAACACATACTTATTTCTCTATTTACTTCTGAACTGGCCTCTGACCTTTACTGATTTTGAAACAAAACAAAGGAGCAGGGATGGGAGGATGGCTTGCCTACCCTTACTGCAGGGGGCTCTTTAGCTCATAACCACAGCTCCAGTAATTTCTTGACTTGCGCATTAGGCTGTGATTTGTTTGTATCTAGAGGCTGGTTTCCCTGGCAACAACAGCTTGCCAGAGCTTGCACATTCCCTCCTCTGCAGTGGCGGAATGCAGCTGGGAAGGAAAAGGAGGGTCTTTGGGACCAGAGTCACTGAAGGAGTTATTCTGCAATCATGATGTCAGTTTTTCTGGGCTAAACTGCCATCATGATTGTATATACAGCATTGAATATTTTTAATCCTTGGAAGGCTTTGAGCCACTTCCTTTTTCTTCTTCCCAAATTACCTCTTCTCAGTATGGTCACCAGTGACCATGAAGTCTTCCAAATGTTTCACGTTACTTACATCCTCAGGGGCCCAAGGAAATTCATAGTAATGTGAGCACAGGAAACAGACTGCCTGGGGAGAATCATTGTGATTCTCCCCACAGCAAATATTCTCCCAGTGCCCCACCGATTAAACCCATAGTTGAGATTTTCCTCAGAGCACACACTCCCCTCACATTACATTGACCTTCACCAGAGCACACAGACTCCATCCCACAGCATATAGACTCCTGTCAAGATTGAAGAGTTATCTCATGACACAGACTCCTTTGAGCATACAGACCTTCCTCAGGGCACACAGCCTCACACCATATCACACAGACTCTCCCCACAGAACATAGACTCACCCACAACACACAGACTCACACCAGAGCACACTGACTCTCCAAAGAACACAGACCTCCTCCCCAGAACACAGTTCATGGCACAGCCTGAAGACACACACAGAGAGACACAAAGACTCTCCCACAACAGATGGACTTGCTCCATGATACACAGACCATTCCAAAAGGACACAAACTTGCCCCAGAGTACACAGACACTGCCCAGATCAAGCAGACTCATTCCACACCACACAGATTCTCCCCACAACCAAAAAATTACTCCCACAGAACTCAGTGTGTCCCACAAACTGAGATGCCTCACAGTCCACAGACTCTTTCTACAGTGTATAGAAACACACCTTAAACACAAACTGTCTTCACAGGACACAGGCCCTCTCCATGACACACAGACCCTCCTCACCTCAGGCAGACTGGCCCCAGGATGCACAACCTCTCCCCAAGACACAGACTTGCTCCACAACTTTAGGATTTAGCCCATGGCACACAGATTAAACCCATAGCATGGAAACTCTTCACACAGCACTTTGACAAGCTCATCCCATTGCACAGAGATGCAACAGTACATCTTACAGCACATATATCCCCTCATGATGTACAGGTTGTGACACAACACACAAAGTTTTCCTTCAGTACATCAATTTACTTCACAAGCACAGTTATCATACATTGCAAATACTAGCTCTATAGTGCACTAATTTGACCAACACTATCCAAGCCTTCACCAACCATACAGTTACTATGCAATGCGCACAATGGCCCTGTCACAACAAAACACACCCCAAATTCTTCAGACAAACTGCAGTAGACACACCTCACAATGCACATCACAGCATGCAAATTGGTCCTTTGATGGGCAGTCTTGTTCAACAACAGACACAATCCTGCCACAGTAGAACCTAATCTATCTCCAAAGTGTTCAGATATGCCCTTCAGGGCACAGTCACAGACGTGATCTATATTACCATCACTCATCTCACAACATAGATGCAACCTATCCCATGCAAACATACATAAAAACTCCACCCTTATAATGCATAGAATTGTGTCACAACACACACTTGCCATACAAATTCATTTCACAAAAATGATACTCCTTATGGTGATTACACAATGTAAACACATATTCCAAAACACCTGCAACCATTTGCTCTGCAACTTCCACATTTACCTCAAAGCACAGACTGTGTCCCTATTCACATTGCTGCCCATAAACACAATATGCCCAACCATGCACAGAATTCCATCAAAATGCATAGATTCTTCTATCAACAACATACTTGCTCCACAACACACAAGCACCACTGAACACTGAGACTCACCTTAAATGTACAGGCAAACCCTTTGGGACATAGACTTGACTAGCCCCAAAACACAATCTCCCCCACAACACTAAAAATTCACAGGCATGCCTGTAAACATAGACTTCTGCAATGTGCAGAATTGTATCACAACACAGACTTACTCTAAAATGGAAACCCTGCAATGCACATAAACATTCCCCAGTGTGCAGACACACAATACACATTACCATGCAATGCAAAGAGCTCCATCATAGTTTGCAGACATGCTTTATCATACTGTTGAGCTACAACTCTTGCCTACAACATATACACAGCTTGTGTATGGTTAAGGGTAAGGCCTCTGGACCCCTACTACCTAGGTTTGAATCCAGGTTTCATTCCTTTCTAATCGTATCACCTTGGGTAAGTATATATCTCTGTGTTTTAGTTTTCTCATCTGTAGAACAATAATAACAATAGCATCTACTCAAAAGGGTTGTTGTGTGTTAAATTAAATAAGATATGTTAAGTACTTAGTGCAGTTTCTGGCACATAGGAACTATTACAACTATTACTGTCACCCCACCACCACCATTACTACTAAAGAGAAAAGGACCTACCTTGAATACCTAGAATCACGTGATAGCAGAAGATTCACCACATGATACAGAACATCTAGAAACACCTTACAGCATACAGACACCCCACCACAACACCCACACACCATACAGAACACAAACAGAACCCTAAACCAGATGCCACTCACAATATACTGAACTGCATCACAATTTAAAAATTTGCTAAAAATTGCACAGGCTTGCTCCAAAATACACAGACTCATTCCACAATGTCCAGGCTCCATGCACAACATCCAGCCACATCCCACAAGACACAAGCTCACAACACAGTACACACATATATACATGTACCCTGCAACTCAGCAATAAGCCCTATATTATACAAATACATCCTACCACACACTAATTTTTGTCACATAATATGTGGACATATCTACTATTCACAAACATGCTCCTGAATTTATAACACTTGTACCATGATACTGACTCATCCTGCAACACACAGACTCACCCAGTAATTCAGGGGTGCCCATGATGCGGACTTACCACAATAGATAGACTCATCCAAAGACACGTAGACAGGCTCTACAGTACATCGACTTGCTACAAAATAACTTAGGTACAGACATACCCTGTACAATGCATGGGACCGTATTATAACAAACAGACTAAATCCTCAACCTAAGGCCTTTCCCCATAAACTAAGGTTTGTTTCAGGAATACAAAGAATACTCCATGACACTTACCACATCTCCCAAGATACCCAGAGGTATGTTAATATGTACAGAGAAGCTTCACAGTGTTCAGCATCACATAATATGCACCCTCACTCCACAATGTACAAACTCATCCCTCCCTCAAATGCTCATTGGCCTCCAATGCACAGACATGCCCCATAACACAAAAACACTTTTCATGGGCACAAACAGACCCAAAATGCACAGACATACTCCACATCAACACACATACACACCTTTTACCCTACAACAACAGAGTCATTCTACAATGCACCCCCTAATGTAGCAATTATCCTCAGAATACCTGGAGATCCCTATAACATATACACATTTCCCACAGCAAACATGGTTCCCTGATAACTAACAGAATTTCATCACAATCTACAAACATCTATAAAGCACGGACCCAGACAACAATACCCAGACTCATTCCATAAGGCACAGAGACATGCCATAATCCAGGTTCTAGACTCACAACAAGGAAACATCCCTTTCAAAATAAGTATTCTTGTAAACACAAAATTCTCCAACAGCTCACAGAACCACATCACCACACATCTTTCCTTGAAAGCAGAGGCTTGACATACAACTTACAGTGTTGGTCACAATAGAAAGTCTTCCC